TTTTTTATTATTATTTCAAATGGTTAGTTGATCTATTATATGTGAAACTGGAAACAAACCCCATCGGTTACCGGAACATACAGGACGGACATAAGTGCACGAGGATCCACTGTGCAAACCCTTGAGGTTTGGCGGAGCTTATGGAGCGAGGACGCATCCAACAGCCAGACAAAGTCAGGATGAACTCACTGCTCCGGAATTATCACACGGACGCTTTAGTTGCCGCAGAAGGCGCGGGGACTCTCGGCGCCCGGGGGCACAATCGTGCAGGTTTTAGGGGTCGCGTTTTATTAATGTGATGCGTTAACGCTAAGCGAGCAAACTAACTGGTCCAACACTTACATAAAGCAACTTGGACGGGCAATTGAGGAAAAACCAACAAACCTTTGCGAGGATATGTTTTCGCCCCGTAAGAGACGTGTGTAACAGTAGTAAGATAAGTGCTGGACCCCATCTGCTTTCCACGTCATCCTCGCGCCCTTCGACGTGTTTACTTATTTTTTTTATTGAATATATTTATTTTGGAGCGCTTCCCCAGAAAATTCCATGTAAAGATGCTCATCTGCGGATTGCGAAAGACTGTCCCTTATCGTCAGCTACCAGCGCCGTGCAGATCATCGCATGCTGTCTTCCCGGGGGAGTGCAGGGGCCGCACCTGGTCCTACACCTGGCACAACCTGTGCTCCATGAGCCGCCAGCACTGGAGGCTTTTTCTTTTAAATCGGCACAGCAAACCCCTGGAAATACGTTTCCTCAAAATCGCACATAAAATCACTTGCAAAACACCTATTGCGTTGACGGAGGAATGCATTTTCAGATGCTGTAAATCGGGGGCAGTGGTAAACAAGCTTCTTGGGTCAGAAAAATAGTATCTGGAAAGTACCATATGAAGTCATTTGCAAGTAAATGTACTTACTCACAGGAGAGAAAAAAAATCCCTGCATGATTTATTCATTTAGCTCAGAGCCCCCGCTTTGGCGGATGGCCTACAGATGGAGAAATGGTGGTAGTCTCCCACTGATGCATTAATGAGTGTTGACCCGTTTGTGCTGCTGTCTGCAGCTGAATGGGAGACAGGCCTGCTTTTCTCCTAAAGTCTGAGGTTTATCTCAGCAGGGACCAGCTCCTCCCAAATCTCCGAGAAACTGAGGAACACTCCCAACCCCACCTACACCGCTTGGGTACACAAGGTACTCAGGAAGTAGCGAGTCAACGTCATCACGAACTGAATGCAAAACTAAACCCGAGGCTTCCACTTGTAGCCATTTTGCCAGTGTTCTGTGTGAACGACACATAATTTTTAGCGTGACTAAAGCACTGATAATCGTGAGTGTATTTGCCGAGAATGGCCCCTGAAATAACGCCCTGGTCACATCAGCACTGCAAAAGACGCCAGTGTAGTGAAAGCTGATTATAGTAATGGATGAATGAATCATTTTCGCGGCATGCCGAGCATTAGCGGAAGTGCTTGCCCGTACGATTCCGTCCTGGCTTGTTGTGGGAGGTGTCAGGGAAGCAGATCTGGCTCGTGGTTATTGGGGAAGTTCGTGTCGGTATGGCAACGTACGTAATACACGTTACCTGAGCGACAGTGGAAGATGACAGGTTATTTCGTGCGCCTGAGGCAGAGATGTGGTTCCTGTATAAGGATACTTGTGGCGGGTATCGCGTCGCCTCCTCTTACCCTGCAAACCGAGTGGCCGTCTGTATCAGGTGGGGGGGGAGGAATCCACAGTATCAAACAGCATCGGTGTCATTGGAGATGAAATCCAGCAGGAAGGATGCTGTCTCCCCCTTTAGAGAATACTTCTAGTCTTGTCAGCCAAAACGGATTAGAACAGAAAAATATTTTTGTCTTCTTGTTAAACAGGATTTCATAATACCAGACTCTTGAGTTGACCATTATGGCAAGTACAACGTTTGTTAAACAATGCTGCCCCTCAGTGGCCATACATGGTACCTATAAGGAATCACTCTAAGTAGGTATAAGTAGGTTATAAACCTCTACGCTTTACATTTAAGATGTTAGTGTATATGTTAATTATCTTTTCAAACACCCATCCAGTCTTTTGATAATAGTCCAGTTTGTCTCTATAGCCTTAACAACCGCTTTTGCCTGGCGATTTTATTGACCCCATCAGGTTATAATAGGGCAGGTGTGCGAGGAACACGTCAAATAACCGTCTAACAAAAACAAAGAAACCGGGAAATCCCCAGTCAGGGCAAGCTTCATTTACAGAATTACTAACTGAAACATCCACGCCCTCCCGCGTCTAGCATTACTCTTTTTTTAAACTTGATTTTTTTAATTGCACTGAATTCTGATCAGAGGTTAGAAATGACTGCATCTATGCAGTGTAATGAAAGAGTGCTTTGACGCGCGCAAAGCCCTCCGGGACCGAAAGAGTATACACGAAGTACACAGTTTTAAATAGTGCACCATGCATGACGCTGGATCCAACTCGCTGATCTCTCTAAAAGGCAGAAGTTTGCAGTGTCCGGCGGCTCAGATCTCATGGACTTAGCAACCACGTGGAAAGTTTAAACTTAGTAAGATCCTGTGTGGGGGACACCAGCCGCGCTGGGTGACACCACGGCCTTAAAGCAGTTGTTCCCGGAGCTCTACCTCTGGCACAAGCCGAACCGATCCTCGCACCTCCCTTCGCCAGAGATGCGCAGCTGTTGCGCTAGCCTGGCTAACAACTTTGGCTCAATGTCACACTGGGCTTTATGCAGATAATGCTGGGGACAGGAAGCAGTTGCTGCCTAGTGGGTAAATTCTGGGATACACGCGGACAGCTGACATCTGCGGCGATCAGTTAGGCAATATTTTGATAAATGTAATTGTCTAAATCACATCGTGTGACATCCGTAAGACCAGATTTTCCAAATTATTTTAACACATCGTATAACGTATTTAACCCATCCATCCATTATCGTAACCGCTTAATCCCCACTGGGGTCGCGGAGGGCCCGGAGCCTATCCCGGGAACAATGGGCACAGGCGGGAACCAACCCTGGGCGGGTGCCAACACACCGTAGAACGTATTTAACGGATTATAAAAAAAAATTACTTGCAATGATTAAGGAATAGCAAAATTTAATTAGAAAAATTAGCACTCAACATCTTAGATTAGTCTACATTGGATCGTGTTGTAAGTAATTTTATGCAGAAGCACATTAGGAAGTGCAGGAGTTTGCAGATATAGTTATTGTAGGTCGTGACTTGGTTTTTTGTAATAAATTCATTTAAAATAAAAGGACAAGTAATTGTTTATTTACCGCAATCTATTGTATGTAACAATGTCAGTCCTGCAGTGCGAATCAAACTTGTTTTTTTGAAGTAGTGGTGGGGTTGGGGTGTGAGTAAATACGCTCAGTAACAAAAAAGTTAAGCACCCCGAAGTAATGGTTCGATTTGGATGTAATTTGGTACACCTGCAGACCAGCAATGGGTAGGTAAATGATTCGATTTGCAAGGAGCTGCCACATCTAGTCACCAGACACAGAATATGGCTCGTAGCCGCATTAGACAGTAGCCTATTACCAGCTCTTGGCGGAGTTCGATATGGGCCGCATTGTGGGTTTGCATGAGGCCGGGTGGTCATATCGTGCAATTAAACGGCATGTGGGCATGCAGATGTCACAGTCGCCTGATGTTGGAACCAATTGGCTCGTGAGGGCACCCACACACGTCGTGAAGGTTCCGTTCGCTCAAGACAGACCACGCCAAGGGAGGATTGTCGTATTGTGCGCCAAGCATTACACAACCCATTTTTACACGACATGTGTATTGAACTCTCTACAACACCCATCCCACACTGTGTCTCGACGATTGGCATCAGTCGGACTACCGGTTCACCGTTCCATGTGTAGGCTGCTGTTAACAGCAGCGTAGAGACGGCTGCGTTTGGAGTAGTGCCGTAACCGTGAAGCATGAACTGATGACGAGTGGCGTCGTACCGTGTTCAGCGATGAATCTCAGTTCTGCATTACCACGGATGACCGTCGTATGCGTGCACGGCGGCGCCGAGGGGAGAGGACCAATCTCGCCAATGTTGTGGAAAGACACACTAACGTTACTCTTGGCATCATGGTGTGGGGAGCCAGAGGGTATGACTTCAAGTCATCTATAGTAGTGATTTGTACCCTAGCGGCACAGCGCTACATCAATGACAGTCTGCGGCCGCATATCTTACCCCTCCTGAGATGGCACTGTGGTACAGTATTTCAACAAGGCAACGCCCGTCCACACATGGCACGCGTGTATATGGACTCTCTGTGTCATGAGGTCCTCCCGTGGCCAGCCAGGTCCCCCGATCTTTCCCCAATCGAATATGTGTGGGATCAGTTCGAACGTCAACTGAGACCCATGCAGTGCCAATCCGCAGTATCTCGAGGGCCAGTTACAACACCCGTGGGGCGACTTGCCGCAGGAGAGGATACAACGGCTGTACGACTCCCTTCCGCACCGTATCGCCGCATGTATCCAGGCCCGGGGAGGAGGGTGCCACATCGTATGCAGTATGCCAACTCTGTTGTCCGTTTGTTCTTATATTATAATTATCGTGATACAGTCACATGACCTTTCACCATGTACAGATTCATTTCATTTCCACCACTCGGTCTGAATGCCTAACTTTTTTGTCACTGTGTGTAATACTCGATAGCAGCTAATAATTATAGAGAAGTGAGCACTTATGTGAAACTGGGGGATTCCTGAAATCAGGACGGTTAATAGTCAATAGCACAATTAATGTAAATGTCTTTTCTCGAATAATAATTAAATTACGTGTTATGCTTTTTTCCAATGAAGCACACCGCTTGTGTGTAAGTATTCCACATGTATGTTTTGTTTAGCAGAAAGAAAGGTGTCATTTGTCGTACTCCAAATATTACTCTACCGATGAGCCCATTACAATCTCGAACCCGGCACGCGCACCTTACGGGGAGCTCGCGTCCACCTCGCGGCGAGGTGACATCGCACGCATGCGCAGAGCGGACGACGTGCCTCCTGCGCCACTTTTTTCGTACACTTGGCGGTAGTGTACGCATGCGCGATGCCGTAGCCGGTTATGGCGGCCGAGAGTGTGTTTCCATGAGGCGCCTTGCGATACCTATTCTTTCGGACTGAGAACGCAAAAAGAGGGACCGAGGCCATGGCTGGCGTGTTCGACATCGACTTGGACCAGCCAGAGGAGAACGTCTCTGACGACGAGATTGAAGATGGGGTGAGTAGCCGGCCGTAGGTGCTGTATTTTTCGCGCAGCTTTGTGCAGGTAGGGCAGGCCCAGCGGTGCGGGCGACACGGCACATTGTCACTGCAGCAGAAAGCTACAGGCCCGATTCGTGACAGCGGCAGAGAGAGGTCTGCCACTGCGAGGCCCAGGCAGTCTTTAACCACCTTTTAGTGCCTAGCAGACTGTCAAAACGTTTGCGGTGGTGACAGCGGTTCGGCAGCTGCTTAGCGCCTCGGGTCTCCCCGTCTCTTCTCGGCTCTCATTGGCGGTCGTGTGTGTTTGCTGATGGAGTACCGGGGAACGTGTGCTCTGCGGTTATACTTTTGCTGTTTGGTGACCGTAGTGAGCTCACAGGCCCGGCTAAGTGCAGAGAGGAACTTGCAGTGGGCTCCATGTCTGCTTTTCGCAACCACAGCCACAGCCTCCCCTCGTGTGCGCACACACTGGTTGTTTGGCTCCTTTATAATATGAAGGCAAACAGAAACAGGACTGTTTAGGTAATATTCACATCACATAAGTAAACACAATCTTCTACTGAATGCTGCTAAAAATAGATAGCTGACCACACTCAGTAGTTTTAAATACACATATAAGGAAGTATATATGTGGATGTGCATACATATATAATATATATTTTTGCCATTATCGACTTCATATCTTCATTTTTTGGGCAATATTTGGCTTGTATTGAGGTAATGTGCTACAATCCTTATATAAATGAGGTTATCTCCTTGGATAAATTAAAGACAAGAAAGGAGCTGTAGTTTATTGGTGGTAATTGGCAATCCAGGGCTTATTTAAGCTGTAAAAATCTGGAGAAAAGGTAAAAAAGCTTAACTGTTCACGTTACACTGTGCAGGAAAGAAACTGGTTAATTAAATGTCTTAAAATAGATGTAGGGGGAATTCACCCCCAGAATACTTTATTTTTGTTTTGCTTACTCGTGTTCAATGGAAACTTATGAGAAGGAACTAAACATTTACTGCAAGAATTTTGGGGGAGTCTGGCAGTTTATAGAAAGATAAAATCATACAAATGTTTCAAAATTGATTGTAAATGTGTGCCTTGATGTTTTTACTGGGGTTTCAAAATATATTTTTGTTGTTTTTAAACTTCCTTTAACAACACTCCCATGCTGTGATGTTTTGGCCAAAACACAGCTCACCTCTGCCCTGTTTTGCTTTCTAACTTAGTGTCACAGCAAGCGCTCGGTGTTATGATTAGATAAACATTAGCCTGATCGATTGTGAAATACTCACTGGGAATTGTATGAAATTGTGATGTACTTAAAGTTATTTGGGGGCGGGGCATATTTTAATGCAGATGGCTTTTTCATGATGGACAGCTTTGAAGCTTGTCTCTGATAGCTTAACGAGTAAGTTGGGATAATCATTTAGGCTGCAGTGCTCACCTTAAAGATCAGAAAGCTAGTGTTTCTTTCGTAAGTTATAAAGGCGCCCCTCAGTTTATACATTAAATATAAGCAGAGTTATTTTTAACATGGTAGATAACCTTGATTTAAAATTACACTTAAGTTTATCAGCTTGTATTGACACTGTAAATACTGGATTTTTTTCACCTGGGTGCAGTTTTTCAGTGTCTTCAAGGTGACCGTACGTCATACGTACCTCTACCGCTTAATTGTTGAAATTATTTTCTATCCTATTTTAACACAAGCGAAACACTGTTACTTATTGGTTACAGTGCTACTATGATGCTAAGTGGGTGTGGCCGGGTGTGGGGGTCAGCGCTTGTGCGAAACAGTTTCTGTAACATAGGAGATCACTGACTGGTTTTTAGTGTGAGTCTGATCCGTGTCTGACAGCAATCTGATGCATGTGCCTGGGCATGGTGACCACACTTATCCTCAACTTCATCAGGATTAATGTCTAATTGTTTTTTTTCTTCTATTGCAGGCCCAGAACAGTGAGTTCATGGATCAGTGCAACAGTTTCGAATTGTGAGTCTGATATTCTTTCTCGAGTGCATCAAGAAATGGTCTTTTTATTTAACTGTCACTTTGAGACCCTTGTGTTGGATTTCTTGTGGTCATATTGTCTTATCTGTGTATTGCCACATGCCCATTTATTCATTGCTTCTTTGGTTTTCTTTGTCCTAGAGTGTCAGATGAGAGCTGGACTTTTTTAAAGTTTTATTTTGATGTAATTCCCGATGTAAAGCGCCTGCTTTGTTACCTGTGCTGCCTGATTGTGTGTTTGTTTCTCTCTTAGTAACATGGATGGCTGTGAAAAATTCGAAATCTCAGAAGACAGTGTCAATAAAGGAACAGAGCAGATTCGACCAGAGTGTTTTGAACTGCTTCGGGTCTTGGGAAAAGGTGGATATGGCAAGGTAATATAATCACAATCTGTGTATGGACACAAACAAGTTAAGGTCAGTTTCAGAGTTTTGTTAATAGTTAAAATCACAGCTTAAGATGTACATCTCAAATAGTACGAACGCAATGATTGCTTAAATGAAATATGAATTGAACAGGAAATTATAAATGTCTTCAATGCTTTCCGTTTCTTCTGCAGGTGTTCCAAGTTAGAAAGGTGTCCGGAGCTACGTCAGGAAAAATATTTGCTATGAAAGTCCTTAAAAAGGTAGAGTTTGAAATGATTGTTGGGTGGGGCTTTTGAATTTTGAGGGGACAAATAATATATTGTTTAGAACATAGGTGGTCTATTCCATAGGATCCCCTTTAGGATGTTTAAAAACACAGATGGTCTATTCCATAGGATCCCCTTTAGGATGTTGAAAAATGTAGATGGTCTATTCCATAGGATCCCCTTTAGGATGTTGAAAAATGTAGGTGGTCTATTCCATAGGATCCCCTTTAGGATGTTGAAAAATGTAGGTGGTCTTTTCCATAGGATTCCCTTTAGGATGTTTAAAAACATAGGTGGTTAAATTCATAGGCTTCCTCGTGGGATGTTTTAAAAAACATAGGTGGTCTAATCCATAGTCTTTTGTGTGGGACTTTATGCACAGTTGCATTCCTGCTCAGTATAATTAAAGGAGACTGGATGTATTATGAGGACCTGTAGTTAACGTGCAGAGACTCGACCAGCTCAGAAGACTTTTTCGGAACATCAGTCTGTTTTATGTGACGGCTTATGTCATCTCGTTCTCACCACCAAAGTTCCCCTTTGATAAGTTGAAGCTGAAAACAGATCTGTCTATATGCTGTGTATTTACAGTGCAGAGCCCTCAGCTTGTTTAGGCTGTTTAGAAGTGATGATAGAGATTTGACTTGGTTATAAAGGAATGCGAGCAAAACGCTCAAGACTTGCCAGAATCCAATTTTTTTCTCCCCGAATCACTTGGTTTACTTTATATGTTGTGATTTGCTTGCTTTCTATATTGGACATGTTTTATTTGCCAGTGTGGCAGAGTGTGTCACATATCACACATTTTAAAAGGGCTAGGTGATATATCTGTAAAATATTGTGTTATGATTAGGAACATTTATATCATCATCAATTTGAATACCATGAATACTGTGATATAGCCTTTGATGATTATAATTAGAAAAACTCAAAACCACCCATCACAATTAATTGTTTTCTGCATATGAATTTTAGAATATTGTGATAATTATTGATATTGTGAAAATCTCTGAAAATATTGTGATATAATTTGTAGGGCATATCACTCAGCCCTATATTTTGCTCTTTGCATTTTGCTTCTGAGGACACTGTGTGCCATTGTTAGTTTAGTTTTACGCTCAAAGCTTTGTTCCAAAATCCAACAAATCCAAAATGGTGCAGGCAATTTGCACAGTCCAAACAAGTCCACAGCCCATTCAAACAAACAAATCCCGTTTCAAGTTCAAGTTTCCAAGTTTTAAGCACTTAAAGAATGGTTTTTTACTATTTTGTGAGGGTCAAATCAAATCGAAAGTGTAGATCCTGTATAGTTATTACGAGCTCATCTTAAAAAGTGTCCAGCTGTTGCTCATACCTGTGTTCGTTGGTGGTAGAAAAGGCAGGCGGGTAGGGAGATAGGTAGCAGGCAGGTAACAAGCAAGCAGGCAGGCAGGGAGGGAGAGAGGTAGGTTTCAAGCAGGTGGTACACAGTGGAGTAAATCCAAATTGTGGAGAGAGATGATCCAAAGCATAAATTTCAAGTTTTACCAAAAGGGGGTGAAATCAAAGTATCCTAAATTCTATTTAAGTTTTAGTTCAAAGTTTAGGTTTAAAGCGGTAAAAAAACTATTCAGCTACGGCATCTTCCATTGTCTACCTGAGACCAGGAACCATGTGGAAGATGCCATCTTTGACCAGCCAGGTGACCTAAGGCTATATCAAAATAAAAGTTCCAGGCTAAAGGCCAGCAAATCTAAAGCAAAGTAAGAGTCTAAACCAAAAGCAAATTCAAACTAAATTTGGCTCCATCATACTGTCTGAGACTTTCTGTATTCTTGGAATGCTAAACCAAAACTTCTTTTATTCACTCTTTTAAAAATGTGATTTTAATTTCCAATCAGATGCGATTTTTATAAGCTCCCAGTGATATAAGAGCTCGAGAGATGAATATTTTTGAAACTTGGGACCCGGTCCTGGTTGTGTTGGAGAGAGCGGCTCGTGCAGAGTTTTAACTGTGTGTGTTCATGGCGCAGGCAATGATCGTCCGCAACGCGAAGGACACGGCACACACCAAAGCCGAGCGCAACATCTTGGAGGAGGTCAAGCATCCATTCATCGTCGATCTCATTTACGCCTTCCAGACCGGGGGCAAGCTGTACCTCATCCTGGAGTACCTCAGCGGTGAGCAGAGCTGTGTCTGACCCTGGTCACGTGGTTCAGCGTCATAAGATTGGCATGAAAATCTGTGCTGCTAAATGAGCCTCAGGATGTTAACCAGCAACACAAGATGACTTAAAGCATTAAACCATTCTGCAGGTTCACATACACTCTATGGATAAAGGTATTGGGACATATCTGTTAATCGTTCAGGTGTTTCATTCACAATCATTACCACAGGTATATAAAATCAAGCACCTAGCTAGGAGCAACAGAAACTGAGCCATAAAGTGGCCGACCACGTAAAGTAACAGAGCAGGGTCGCCAAGTGCTGAGGTGCTTGTGTGAGTGTGTAAAAGTCATCAGCGCTCTGACTCAGTAACTGCAGAGTTCCAAATTTCCTCTGGCATTAACCCCACTACAAAAATTGTGTGCTGGGAGCTTCATGCAATGGGCTTCCATGGCTGAGCAGCTGCATGCAAGCCTCACACTACCAAGCGCAATGCCAAGTGTCACGTGGAGTGGTGTAAAGTTCCACACAATTCTATGCTTCCAACTTTGTGGGAACAGTTTGGGGAAGGCCCTTTTCTGCTCCAGCATGACTGTGCCCCAGTACAGAAAGCAAGGCCCATATAGACATGGTTGGTTAAGTCTGGTGTGGAAGAACTTGACTGATCTGCACAAAACCTAGACTAAAAGGGAGACTGTGAGCCAGGCCTTCATGACTGACAACAGTGCCTGACCTCATAAATGCTCTTCTGGATGAATGGGCAAAAAAAATCCCATAGACACACTCCAGCATCTTGTGGAAAGCCTTCATGGAAGAATGGACCAAGGGGGACCAAGTCCATACTCATGCCTATGGATTTAACATGGAGTGTCATAAAACTTCCTCTAGGTGTAATGGCCAAGTGTCCCGTTACTTTTGTCCATATAGTGTAGGAACTTTATCAAGCCTTTCCTTTACTTACCCCTGTCTCTTTGTTTGGCTCAGCCTAAACAATTAGAATATTAGCTCACTCCAAGGCTAAGTAAATGCTGACCAGTCACAAATGAATTTCTTAAGGTGAACTTTTTGAAGTCTTACACCTAAACACCCAGTCGTTCCAGAGAATCCTGTGGTCCAGCTTACGTCTTGGAACTCAGGCCAAGCTTTACCTTGTTTTAAAAAAACTGGTACAATCCTGGTAAATCCTAGTGAGCATTTCCAGTTAACAGCCTAAACCCAGTATTGATACTCACACATTGGGCCCTGTTGGTTGAGAAGTTATTGTGCACTTTGAACCTGCCAATGAAGGTGGTGCTGCATTAAGGGGTTTAGTGCATTTTTTTTAAAGTGTCTGTCCCTGGTGTTCAAGCTCGTCTTACTCTTCTGGGTGCTAAGACTCCATGTCACCACTTACAGGGGGAGAGCTATTTATGCAACTAGAGAGAGAAGGGATTTTCATGGAGGACACGGCCTGGTATGTAGCTACGTAGCACATTGTTCACTTATCGTGCCGAGAAACACCCGGGACACCAATGATCTCTGGCCCTTGGCCATGATGGGTGTAAACACTCAAGCAGTGAGAGCAATGCTTTTATCACAACAGAATCTGAACAGAGAATCCTGAATCAGGTGCTCAGATAATGCCAGGGTGTTGACAAGTCAAATATTTGTGTAGATTTAAACATTATTAGACTCTTTTATAATAGCTTTGGGATTCCTAATGTGTTTGTAATGCATTTGAATACACACTGTCATCGTGTTGGTGATTTGCCTAGTCAGTTCGAGGGTGCTCTGGGTAGGGCTAGCAGCTGATATGCATGGTAACAGCCATCTTGTCACAAGTGGCCGGGGTTGATTCGCTTTTCCTTTCAGCTTTTATCTAGCAGAGATCTCCATGGCTCTGGGACACTTGCATCAAAAAGGGATCATCTACAGGGACCTCAAACCGGAGAACATCATGCTTAACAACCATGGTAATTAAAGATGTTGAGGGGCGTAGTCACACAAAATGCGGTAGGGGCTGTGACTATTGTTAAATGTAGTTTCTCACACACAGCTGAATGTGTAATTAGTATGAAATTTAGCCAGACACGCTGGGGGTCCTGTCCTCAAAACAGGATCATCCGCCAAGCACTGTTGTGTTTAAAAAAAAAAAAAAAAAAAAACTTTTATTTTTAGTTCATCTATACCCCCAAACAGTTAATTCAGTTTTTCGTGTTTTTAATTACAGGTCACGTGAAGCTGACCGATTTCGGCCTGTGTAAAGAATCGATCCACGATGACACAGTCACTCACACGTTCTGTGGTACCATAGAATATATGTAGGTTGAGTGGATCTGTATGTCACTTCCTGTTTCCTGTGTACTTGCAGTGTGCTTGTGGTTTTGGTCCACCCCATGCTGGGGATGATGGTATCAGAGTTCTGAGGCATGCTGTCTTGAGTGTTTGTGATGCTTTGCTCCAGGGCCCCGGAGATCCTGATGAGAAGTGGCCACAACCGCGCCGTGGACTGGTGGAGTCTGGGAGCTCTGATGTACGATATGCTGACCGGCGCGGTGAGTCTGGATTTCTTCATAGTCCTCTTCTTTCATGCTTCATTTTCAGCTTCCAGAATCTTCTAGAATCTTCTGGAATAATCCATTTGAATGAGATGATAGGTATACAGTCTAGCATTCACTTCTGGTGTTCTGGCTACTAATGATGTTCTTGTCTCTCATTGCTCCCAGCCACCCTTCACTGGCGAGAACCGGAAGAAAACCATAGATAAAATTCTGAAGTGCAAACTGAACCTTCCACCCTACCTCACACAAGAAGCCAGGGACCTTCTCAAAAAGGTGTGGCCTGCTTGGTCCCTGGAGAGATGTCTGGTCACAATCTGGGCCATTACTAGAGGGTCTGAACTAGTACTGTGCGGTATAAATGGTATAAACAGTATACGATATAAATTTGGCCAACGGGAGAGATTTTGATTATTCCGCCCTACCACTGAAATTTCCACTCTTCGCCTGCAAAAATGACATAATCAAGTCGCGTCAAATAATAAATAATTCATTATTAATATGATTTATAAGAAAATTATTTATATGATTGTTGATGCACCTAGCGGCAGTTCTGCACGGGTTGGGATTGGAAATCCTATGCGAAGGCATAGACTAGTGTTTGGTGCGGTGCTTTATATTACTGTGTAAAAAAGGATATCGTCCACAGTTGATGGCCTCAGCTGACTCCTTCGCTCCCAGATGACATTTCCGGCGCATGAGAAATCTCGCTCACTTGCGGCGCTGGATGCTGGGGTGGCAAGAGTAGATCTCGCAATATGAGCAATATTGGGAAACAAACGCTCATGCGCTCTCCACCAAGACAAGACGTCAAAAGAGTTGTTTTTGTTATCTGAGAACTCAGAAATTCTCCCACAGATCAGACTTGATTTTAGTGGAGGTATTGGCCACGACTTTAAACTCTACACTTGCTAGTTTTCGTTTCAACTCCTCAGCATCCATTTCGAACAACTGCAGGAGGTCGCATGCGTTTTTGAAAATGTAAATGGGAGAGATTTCCGGGAATGCGCGTACAGGCATAAACTGATATAGATTTTACGTTTCATCATCATCATGCAGGGATTTTTTGTGTGTCACTAAAATATAGCCCTAGGGTATTTTTTTTGGCACATGATGTTTTGAAAACCGCAATTTAGACCCGCGCTCTCCTGCGTCCGACCCGACCCAAACTCATATCCGACACAGTAGAATATTTTTCACCCGCTTCATCAAAATTTGCGGGTAACCCATTGGGTACCCGAACCCGTGCAGGACTTTTATGGGAGAGATGGTCATTCTAATATAGATGGAGTTATGACACTAGTCTAATTGTATTAGTTTTGTAGCTTTTAGTTCTGTCTTGTTTTCTGCTTACCTGCAGTTTACAGTGTTTTTAATATAAAATAAATCCAGGGAAGTTACTTGAAATGTTTTCATATTTTTTCTATAATTTGCAGATTTGCACAATAAATATTCTACATTCACGACTACTTTGAAATGTGTTAACAGTTTATTGTACAATTTCCTGCTGCAATGCCTTTGCTATGGATATATGTTACCCTTTCAAAAACAGTTATATTGAAATGTACAGATCAAATTATATACCGCAATATATACCGTATACCGTCTATGGTTCAAATTATACTGCAATATGAATTTTATGCTATATCGCACAGCCCTAGTCTGAACGTTGGGCTTTGTCATGCAGCTGCTCAAAAGGAACGCCTCGTCACGCCTGGGGGCCGGACCAGGAGACGCCACTGAAGTGCAGGTACGTCACATGACCCCGGACGGGGCCTCGTCTCTGGGGAGCTGTCCCTCACCGGCCTTCCCATCTTTCGCAGGCTCATCCTTTCTTCCGACACATCAACTGGGAAGAGCTCCTCGCCCGCAAAGTGGAGCCTCCTTTCAAACCCTTCCTGGTAGGCGCCATTGCCACCTTTCCGAAACATTAGCACCAGGGTCACTGGGTGGCTCACCGCCTCCTGCCGTATTCCCGCAGCAATCCGCCGACGACGTGAGCCAGTTTGACTCCAAGTTCACGAGCCAGACGCCAGTGGATAGTCCGGACGATTCGACGCTCAGTGAGAGTGCCAATCAAGTCTTCCTGGTATGGTGTTTGATTTCCGTGGCTTTTCTGTATGGTCCGTCTCTCATCCCCCTCATTCAACCTTTTCCTGCTTTTTATCACATGGTTGCATCCCTGATCTCCTCCTCCCTTTTTCCTCTAGGGTTTTACGTACGTGGCTCCATCCGTGTTGGAGAATGTCAAGGAGAAATTCTCTTTCGAGCCAAAAGTTCGATCACCTCGACGGTTTCTGGGAAGCCCAAGAACACCAGTGAGGTATTGCCCCACCCCTGCTCCCTCGACTGTTTTCTTTTCCACATATAGTTAGTTGGTCTTTCTCGTGGTTATTTTAGCTGAGTGGTTTTGAGATGAGAAGCTCCAGTTAATCTGGTTTTGATTATGACTTCTGTTTTAAGATACTCAGACCCTGAAATTGGTGAGCGATTCTTAGCGCAAGAATTCGCAAAGTCCCCTTTTTGGAAATGAACACTTCAGGTTATGGCAGGAATGGCTCCAGGTTATTTGTGCAGCCCCTCCCTCTAATGTCACTTCCCACCCACCCCCCACTCTCAGCCCTGTGAAGTTTGCTGGTGCAGACTGCTGGCCCCGGGGCCCACCGCTGCCCGTGGCCCCATCCCTCCAGTCCCCCACAGAGCTGGCCATGGAGGTGTCCACAGTGGAGCAGATGGACGTGACGGCCAGTGCGGAGGCCTCGGCCCCCCTGCCTATCCGGCAGCCAGCTGGCACCAACCCAGGGCCTTTCAAGAAGCAGGCCTACCCCATGATCTCCAAGAGGCCTGAGCACCTGAGGATGAATCTTTGACGCTCAGCTTGACCCCTCCCCCTTTCCTTTTTTCTTTTTAAACGGACATGAGAAAATGAAACGGACACATCTTCTCACCACCAGCCTGATCATGCATTTGCCCCCTGTTGCCATGGCGAGTGTGACTCCGCCTCCTCGCGGAGACTGGCTTTTTTCATCTTCCCCTGGGTTGGCTTGACAGATTCGAGCTGGGCCTTACTCTGATTATACTCATTTTTATTTTATAATTTTGTTTTTTTTACATGATTCTGTCTCATCAGAAAAATGAAATGAACAAGGGAGGAAAGTCGTCACGTGTGAACACCCATGGAATGTTGGAGTTCTACAGTATTACTTTAGATGCTGTGTCGCTTTCCTGTCTATTTCTGTTTCTTTTTGAGAATGAAAGGACGAATCATTGAACAAATGTATTATAATTTAAGGATCAGTTGGGGTCCTGCAATGCAAATATGTGATGCATCTGATGGGTTTGCAGCAAGCTGCCGGTAACATCCTATAAAATACTAGATCAGTATATAAACACTACAATAAAAAAAGAACAAATTAGTTTTAATATCTTTCCATTTAAATGATGTGGGTTTGAGTGTGATTGGCCCAATGAGATCCTTGCGGCCTAGGTTTTTTCCACCACTCTTTGTTGCTTGTCAGGTTTCCAGTACGAGGGTGCATTTTGTCAAACATGACTCGCTGACTGAATGGCACGGTGAAACGGCGCTCTACCACATGTCCAGTACCAAATGTAGCAGACGGCTGTGAGGATGTTACAGGCTTGCGCAGCCATTCTGAATCGTGTGAGGAAATGTTGATGACATCATGGATTCTAAGGCCTTTTGAATATGACTGACAAGCAGACCCACACAGTTTGGCGCTTTCCCTTGCCCTTTCTCTCACTCTGTCTGTCTGTCTCTCTCTCTCTCTCCTTTCTCTCTTTCGAGTGCCAGAATCCACGTACAGGTTAAGAACTTGAATAAACCCATGAACAAGTTTACTGTTTTAAAAAAAGAATAATAATAATAATACTAATAGGCTGATCTTCCAAGGTCATTTTCTCTGCTGAAATTACAGCTTCTGTCTTTCGCTTTCCTTTCTGTGATTAATATCACGGTTTGATGTGAGGCCAATCCTTAATCGCTGCCTTACATATAGTATTAACCTGTCCATCCCAAGTAGGTGAAGTATTTTTATGGTTATTATTTTATAATGTGCACCTGAGAAATGACTGATGCTTTACTAAACCATGTTGTGACCTCCATGTCCATTACAGGATGTCTTAAACACTTCACTGTCACTGAGGCTTTATCTGTTTTCTAAACTGAGCCAGAGGAGTAAAGCCATAACTTTCTCGTCCATAATCGGCAGACTTATTCAGAACCGGACCTCGGGGTGGGACCCACATGGCGGGATGGTGTGTCCCGGCTGCTTGTTGGCATCCAAGTTGGCAGAGCGATATCTTTCGTGAGCGGCTCCTGATGTTGCCGTGGTTGCTGTGACCGCGATGGAGGTGTCAGGGCTCCATGTTGTGTTGATGTTGAATAAACACTATGATTTTTATTCGATATTTGGTCTCTTCTCTATTGCACGTGGATGCTTCCCTTGAAGTTTTTTTTAAATCCCTGTTAGCATTCATGCATCGGAATTCCTACAAGTAAAAAATAAAAATGACATACCTATGCTGTATAACATAATCAGCCCTATCAGATTTCTCGGAGAAGTGTTCTAGCTGTGATGTAGAGCTCCAGTGAATGTCCAGAAGGTCATAGGCATGGATCTTATGGTTTTAGGACAGCATGTGAGTTACAGTTGACGTACATTGAGAAGTATCCGTTAGTACCTCATTGTTTAGCTGCTTCTACATCGCCCTCCCTGTCCCCCCCGTTTTATGGATAGTGGGTTTGTCCCCGGCTTCCCGATCATGGAGAGGTGTTGGTTTTGTTCACAATAGGCTTGGGCTTCTCAGGCACTTGGTGTCTGCAGTAGGAGACACTAGATGACTCTATGAGCTGTGTGAATGCTCACAAGTGGCCTGACCTTCTTGGGAAGCAGGTGTGAGGTTGTCAGATGAGCGGAGTCTCTACCGGTTAGGAGCTTCCATCTTGGAATCTGGTCTTTGAAAAGCAGATTGGCTGACATTTGTCCAGCGCAAGGAGGCTCTTTGTTGAAAATGACACAGTCGGGTCAGAAGGCATGAAGAAAAGGCTGCTCTGCTCCTGGTGCTGCAGTTTCCGCTCGATTCTCATTCTGTGATGGTTTGATGAGAGTATCAGAACTGTGGACTCCAGTATGCAGAAGCACGTTGTGATCTTGAAAGCCTGCCACTGCTGCCTCCTTTGTTCTTGAATAAATGCTGAGATGAGGTTTCAAAACATGAGGTTTTTCTAGCCAAGGTTTCTCATTTGCTGACCAGCAGGTGGCAGAGTGGTGCCCTTTAGTATCACTCAGAACTTTTCCTCAGTTCAAAGCTGTTAAACATCTTTTTTTGTTGTTACTTTACTGTGATTCTTTTTAACAATGTGTATAATTTATTCAAGTGCCATTCAGATTTTCCTGCGTTCTGCATCAAAGACACTATGCAAATGTCATATTTATTTGTTTGGATTTGACTTTCTCCACTAAAGTGGTTTTATACATATATTTTTTTCCTTCCCCATATTAGTTTACTGTTTTATAATAAGTTAGGGATAATTTCATTGTTTAATATATTCAAGCTATACTATTTAGCTGAAGCCAGTTACCCTCCCCCTATCTTGTACAGTAGTAGGGCCTGTTTGGTACCTAAGTATTTCAGAGGGTGGGTACAGACTTAACAAAAAGCAGGATTGTGTAGCTAGGAGAAAGGACAAAGGACTTGTATGAAGACCAAAACATTCACGGATCTGTCGTTTGCAGGTATCAGAAATAGCCAGAGCTCACGATCTTGTATGTATGTGTGTGTGTGTGTGTGTGTGTGTGTGTGTGTGTGTGGATTTGTACTTTGAGTTCCCGTTCCAAATTCCCTTCAGTTGATAGAAGTGTGAAGTGGTTTCAACTGTTGATGCAAAAAATGGTAAGTCTGTGCCTTTTCAAAATACCTATAAATATATATAGAGCTTGTGCACTGGCGGTCGGTGGAGTTCCATGTTCAGGAGGGAGAAATTCTCGCTTTGTTTACTGGAAGCATCTGTAAACCTTTTCCCCCAAGTGCTTTATGATGGCCTTTCTTATACAGTGTCGAACTTAACTTGGTGTTAAAAGCTGTGGTTTCATTCTATGTTTGTCAGTAAGAAGTAATTGCTGGGCTTGCCTTATTTTTTATTTTTATTTTTTTTAAGAAATAAATGTAATTAAACCTATGGGATCATTGGGAGGGAGGACATGGATTCCTCCGCTATGAACAGAGATTTCTGACACTTGGCGAATAATGCGGCAGCCTTTTTAAACAGCTGCTGATTTTTTTTTTCCTCTTTGAACTTCAAAGATGTACATGATCTTTATTTTCTGGAAAAACCATCCATTGTCCTCATGTAGTTGTAAATCTTAACATTCTGTATACATAGTTGGGTAATTCAGGTCCAGAGAGTTAAAATCCAGACCAAGATTTTGTTTCAACCAACCAGTTGAGCATAAAGAGTCACAGAGTACTCAGCCGGTTGGTTGAAAAGTCTGGTCTGGATTTTTACTCTCTGGACCTGGATTACCCAGCTCTGTCTGTATATGCCTCTTTGTGCTTATAACAGGAGAGGTCATTTGTGATCTGGAGCTGGAACAACAACCCAAAAACCAGGGACCTGCGTTGCCTCCAAACGCCAGCTGCATAATAATGACCAAAACAAGTCTCCTCTGGAGAAACATGTGCGTTTGGTTATTAAGGTTCCATAGAATACTTTGCCTTTTATTTTAGTGCTGGATAAGTAACTATTGACATCAATTATTTTTATGAAGTCTAGGTGTGTGTATGTGTGTGTTTTTTTTACCTCTTTTTCTTATTATTCGGTAGTAAAGATCCCCTAGTGCATCTTGCCTCATGCATAAAGAATGTCTCGTTCTGAAAAGCTGTTGCATATTTCATGGGTTTGCTTTTGAAACTATACACCACTCCTTGTATGCTCCCATTTCTCTATCAAGCACCTGTGTAATCTAATGGAATCATGTTACTGTCTATAAATTCAGTAGCTAGTTGTTTTTAAATCATTGATTTTAGGAAAATGACTTGAGTTCTTCAAATGCGATAGCTTAGTCACACAAACTACCTTTATTGAGCTATGTAATATACAGAGGGACTGCTCACTTGGTCTGGATGAGTCAACATAAAATTTTGAAACAAGTTCTCCTTGGGGGGGGGGGGTGATTATCTGTAAATGCTGTGGAGTTTTTTTTTTTTCTTATGTTTTGAACATCAGATTAGGAGCAAGTTTGACAGTAGTACAAATGCATTTCATGTGGGGTTTGACCTTTGCCCTTTGCCCTTGATTTTAAAAGTCACTGGCTGTAAATAGATGAATGGCATTAAAGTCTGTTCATTACTACCTGGCAGGAAGATGTGTGCGCTACTTTCAAGCCTCTCTTACTGTAACAAAATCACACTCACCAGAGACACCCCAGAATTTTATTAAATGATGCAAAACAAGAGAGAAACACTTCAACAGAAAGGATCACTATAACAATATGGATATATTCCCCAGTCTTTGGTTCATTCGTTACCTAAAAGAATACAACTGCACCACTTCAGAAACAGCTGTTTTCTGAATGTGTGGATTCAAATTTTTATACATACCAGTATGTAACTGTTTCATATTTCTTAAATTGTGAAAATCTGCTTAAAGCTCTGAAAACAAAACCAAAAAAAATTCAAAATCCCATGGAAGTAAATGAATATTTAAAGAGACTGTTACATGTAGGTGATTGCATTAGACTGCAGTTCTGCAGAAACTCTTAAAATGCATCACAGTCTAAGACATAACGACAACATATGACATCTGAATACTGAGGTGTCTGCAATTGGGTAGGGGGGGGGTAGTTGTTTTTATTCCCTTGAAAAGTAGCACCTAACACATAGTATTGCTCAAACACAAATCAGAGAAAATGAACAAATCATTCATCTCGCCCCATGTATATAACAAGCTTAATTGTGGTCAAGCATTTATTAAAGAGTAATATTAATCCTGCAAAATATTAACACGTGTTCTACCTTCTAACAGATAACAAGTAGATTCTCCTCCAGGATTCACCAGATTTATGGAGGCCTGGTATCTTTAAGGCCCTTCAAAACACCAGGAAGTGTGTACATGACTCTGAGGAACGGTCATGAAACAGGGTAAACAGGCTCCTACAAGCAGAACTGATTGCAATGTGGTAGAAGATACAGAAGCACTCCCTTGTGATGAGGTGTGATGATTTGTGTTCTGGACACCAGGTACCAGCGCGGTACAATCTAGGTTTAACCAAAGAAAACTGCAGTTGACGTTATATTTAAAAGTCAGCAAAGCTGTAAAGCAAGCCAACTTGTCTGACATGAAGTTTGATGTCTTATCATATTCACCCCCCGAAGAAAAGGCCCACCTTGGTTTCTCAGTAAACCTGCAGGTGGGGAGATGTGGCTCCATCCTGCCACTTGTGGACTTTGTCTGCTATCACAGTGCGGCAGAGTGGACAAGTCCTCTCGCGGTTGAGCCACAATGCAATGCACTCGTCACAGAAGATGTGCTTCGGGAGAAAGGAAGGGGTGTACATTTCACATTCCATATGGGATCCGGTGAGCAGCTTTAATTTATATTTTTTTTTAGATGCCACTCATTGGCCATGCTTGGACCCCCGCCCACGGACACAGGCTTTACCTGACACGGCAGGGCTTGGGGCTCCCTGAAAGCGGCCTTGCAGATGGGGCAGATGTCTCCGGCTTCAAAGCACTGGCTTTTGGTGGCTGCAAGTCCATTATTCTGCAAAAAACAAATGTTCAGTTTCCAAGAAGGCACAGCCCAAGTTAGTCATGCATATAAATGATGCTTTGTTTTCCGTTTGCTAAAGGATGAGTACAGGCACATTGGAATCCTTTTGTGTTTACATATCCCATCTGGCTCTCCTTTGAGACATAAACAGGTAAGTGAAGCTTGGCTGACCCTGTGCTGACCCTGGCTTCTCTTAAATTGTTTTTTCTCCATCCATGAGTGCGCAATTCACAATACAAACACATAATTAAATTCCAGTTTTCAAAATGTAACCAATTATGCAAGATGACCATTTTGTATTCAACCATGACTTTGGGTACCTGACTGCTGAGAAATATCCGGATAGTTTTCTGAAAAGACCCCCAATGTCCGTACAGTCCCAGAAGCTGTGGGGAAAGCAGCATGGTTGTCACACATAGAACTGTCTGATTCTGATCTTTTACTGATGAACAAACAGAATCTGTCAGAGCTATAGTTCAAGTCATACCCTGCAGGGCTGTTAGGCTACAGTGGGAAATATAAAAAAAACTTCAGAAATTAGGCTTCCGTGAACTATAAAACATTATAAAGGATTCCAACTATTGCCAAAAGCTTATGATTAAGGGATTTCATCCAGTCTTACCTTCAGAATGAGG